ACTTTTGGGCATGGCTAGGGGCATTACAGGAAAGGTATAAAAGACTGAATAACGGAAGTCTTGGTCTCTTTTTCTGGCTTTCGGCTTCCAGTTCGGCGGAAAACTGCTCGGCTCATCTGGGTTACTTGTTTGTCTCTTGTGAGTAATTTCTACAATACATACTTAGTTTTACTTTCAGTAAGTGTGCCGTTTATCGTTACAGCATCATAGATGCAGTCAAGTTGACGACCAAGAACAGCCATCACATTGTAGCTTCAAACTTACAGAGATCCTCCTGCCTCTGCCGCCTACGAGCTGGGATTGCAGATGTGCGTCCTCTGATGAATGCTGTACTTTTAGGACAAGATGAATTAATTCATGGATGGGAAATGCTTAGCACAGTTCCTCGGCATTGTTAAGGTGTTGCTAACAATACTTTCAGCAGATGTTAGGATTTTCTCTCTGATGAGAGGGAACATGTCTGGATGAATCCTCTTTCTTCCTAAACCAACATCAGAGTGCAGGGCTCTGAATAATTAAATATATCTGAGGGGATTTCCAGCTCACATCTTATCTAATAATGCGAACTCTAGAAGAAATTCCCATCTCTATTCTATAGACCATGCAAATGTACACATTTTCATCCAACTAATCCTTCAAAGAAATCTCCAGGAATAGATGATCTTGCAGAAGGATGCCTGAAGCACACTATGGAGGGCTGAATGATTTAAGGAAATGGTTATTTTATATGCTGGATATCAGCAGGTAACACTCTTTATATCACACTTTGCTCTCTCATAGAACACATCATTCTGGATGATAAGTGGAAAACCACAAGTGTTTTATTATTCCAATGCCAGCATCAGATGGGAAATGTCCGTAGCTTTTTAGAATTGATAACCAAGTGGACACAGTTCTAAAATGTCTTTCTCTAAGTCATAGTGGACTCATGGCTGGAGAACTCGATGCCTGTTATTTCCTTGAATTTTTTTCCTACTCCTTTGAGGAGGAAAGAAAGGAAGTTGGGAAGGTCACAGTAATGCCTAAAAAGTATCTGCTACCATCTAATGCAAATCTCATATATCATGTGTGCTATGCCAAGACGCAGAATAATAGAATAATTCTGGTATATATGGCCAATATATATATATACATATATATATATTAGTATATATGGTTCAATCACACATGTGACTTAAAAGAAGAAAGAAAGAAGGAAAGAAAGAAAATGTCTATAGTTGGTCTGGTCTTGCTAAGACTGGCGAATAGAAAAAGGGGAGCTCACATTATTTCTCTCTACAGCAGCAAATAGATGGAAACACAACTGTGAAAACACTAGTTGCTGGGTGTATTTTTTACTGGCATACCCAGGAAAATTGCTGAGGTGTGGAAAGACCACTCCCCTGGGGTCATGTTCCAAGTGCAGTCCATTTCAGAGTGAAAGCAGGCTCACGTCTAGTTCCGAGCATTTGTGGGTCAGGAATGTTGTACTTAATGATGCCAGAGTTCGTTTGGGATTCTTAATTCTAATTCCATTTGTTTTTCAATGCAACAAGTAGGTAGGATGCATGCAAGCTTGGGGGTGAGTTATGACTAAGGTGACCTAGTCTGCTTCAGCTGGGCAAATAGCTGGGAAACTATGGGGCGCTATAGCATGCGAGTATGATTTGCCCTTGTAAGTGGGCGTGCATAAACCTTGAGTTGAACTTATAATTTATCATGTAAGCTGAAGACATTATGGAGAGTGAGAGATGCTGTCAGTCATTTCACTGGGACAGAAGCAGCAGAAGCAGGGGATTATCTTAGAAAGACTGGCTTCTGCCCTACACTTTGTGAGTAGATGTGAAAATTCACTCACTGTATCAAAGTTCCTTTGTGATTTTTCTTATTGCTTTACCTCACTGTGGGTGTCTTTCCTTGGAGGGCAGATTTCTACTCAATCTCCCTTTTACCACCTCCTGTGCCATCCCAAGAATCTTCCCTGCTCCTAAAGACACAGGAGAGTGACACAGGAGAGTGACTACATGCTTGTCCCAGAGGAAGGAAGATTTCAGGTGTGGGACAGCTACTGTCAACGTTTTCCAGAAAAAGCCATTTTTGTTTACCCATCTTTTCCGACTCAAGCTCTCTGCCCAAATACAGATTGCTTGGCATATATGTTTCCTTTACACAAACAAACAGAAAGAGCTTCACTCTTAAAATCAACAACAACAACAAAACCACATATACAAATGCTAGGTTTATCTGTGGGTCCATTAAAATAGTGCTCAAATGCTGATGTATATGAAATACTTAAACAGATGAAACGCTAAAACTATTCTTGCACGATTAACAAGCCTTTAACAGCATCTTCACGCAAGACTTCACTGCTGACTATAATCTGGGGCGTCTCCATTGTCACACATGGGGGCAGTGCACTGGAGCCCACAATGTAAGGTTTGCAGCTGGAGAGGAGTGGGAAAACTGGTGTCTTTCTGCCCGAGTCAGCCTCAGATCTGGTGACCGGGTTCCTGTTGCTGAAAGACTGGGTCAGTGCCACACTTCAGGATGAGGTGAGGAGGAGCCAGAATAACTCAACATCCAGTTCTCAGGGTTTGAGTGGCCTGGGGGGGGCCGGGGGAGAAGGAGAAAAGAAGGTCAAGCCAAGCCAGGTGAGAGGACAGAGGCTTCGGCGCCAGGCTCTCTGCTCCGTATGGCCAAGAGAGGAGCTCGTGCCCCAGTCGGGGATGTGCGGCAGTGATCCAGAAGGAAGCCGAGCGTGAAACTTCCCTTTGGTGTGAGCCGCTTTTCACTAGTATAGGGCATGCTGTGCCAAGAAAGAGAACCACCTGGTTTTGTAGACAAGACCTCTCTTTAACTGGACAGCCCATTTCTAAATGTCTAAAGAGAAAAGTTCAAGACAGACGCGGCCACCAGCGTCAGGACTTAGTTGGACAAGTCTTCGGTGTGGAAGTCCCTCACAGTGGTCAGCAGCAAAGATGCCATGTCAGGCCATGCACACTGACGACGAGCATGCTCGATCGTTCACATTTCTATCTTGAGTCACGTTGACGGTTAGGCTACGTAAGTTAACTGAAAGCAAGACTGATGAAAGGCAGGGTCCCGGGCATCAACAAGACACTGTGCAGAATTTGCTTATTTTTTTGAACGTGATATCTAGACCACACTGTCAGGCAAGGGAATAAAGACTTCATGTATCTCTTGTCCAAGCATCATGGTGTGACTCACAGTACTTGTGAGCTAAAGGCGTGCAAGCATTTGGAACCCAGTCTCTTTACTTCGGGTTTTAATGAAGAAAAAATGTTAGAGAGAGAAGACAGGTAGAAGACGCCACATTTCAGAATAAGTGTGCAGTGGTGTTTTCTGTCCTTGGGGGACGGGTATGTAGACAAACTCGAGTCAGAGGTCGTCTCCACCCCTGGTTCTTCTCATGGTCAGTCTTTGCTTCATTAGGTGGGAGCTCTAGACCACCAGGGGCGGCTCTCCATGGCCACCCAGCTAAGGAGAGTCCCCTCCGTAGTGTCATGTCCTCTTTAAGTCCTGTCATGGCATCTCACACTTGCTGAAGTCACTATGTTCCCTTGTTTACATACATGTTGTATGTAAACATACATATGTCTGCTTCATTCTGGGTAAGACACAGGATGCCTAGAAGCAGAACTCACCCCATCTGCTCTTAGACCAGCAACTGTTGCTGGCACGTGACAATGGGTCATCACGTATCTCCAGAAAGAAAGGCCATTAAAAATTTCTTAAAAACAAAACACAAACAACCCCAATGAGTACTTGGAGAGACAAGAGGTCGGTGTTTTCCTGCATTCTGGAACTCGGTGTGTAAGCCTCTCCACACTGACATACTGTTGGGATGACATCATTTCCCTTTCCTTGCTCTGGTTATGCTTCAAGCGGCACAAGAGACCACACTCCCTTGGGGGGAGAGAGGAAGGAGGCTTCTAATTCCTCCTGGCTCTGCTGAGTGTGCCACGGATAACCCAGCACAGTGTGTTTGACTACATGTTTGCCCCACCGAGTAAATGGCAGAGAAATATACTGACCACACAGGAACCGTGCATGTCTGTTTGCATAGGCTTAGACTAGCAGCCATGCCTTCCTGGCAAGATACAGAACAATATTTGACATCTAATCACCACCATTTCAGAAACTGATATTTTTAGAGTGAATGCCTTTTTTGATGAAGTTTGATAATTATTTTCCCGGACCACTCATTCAAAATAAACATTATTTCTTAGTGAATAGTACTGTGCTTTCGATGCTTTTCATTTCAAATCAAATCTGTTCCACTCTGATTTTATAGGTGCCTTTGTTCTGTAGCTCCCAAATGGTCTTGTGAAAACCACTTTGCTTAATAGAAGCCATGATGGTGATAATTGAATTAAACTGTAGTGTTCCTTACAGCTAAATGCCACATTCTCGATACCTTTCTTTTATTTTTATATATACATATATATATATATATATATAGACTCCTTCATTTAAGAGTGTTCTTGAAATTAATGATGTATTTCTTTTAAAGTAATGGCTAACTACCTTGAGGACTGACTACCTCTTACCTGATGGTTTCTGGACACTTGTGGCACAGTACCCACAGCAGGGCGAGCAGAGAGGCATTTCATACATGTTTGTTAAGGAACTCTCTAGAAGTCTGTAGTATTCTGTACAAAAGAGGGCATGGCAGTATCTCAGAATCATAAAGTCAACGCAATTTGCCCCATTTGGAAACAGTCTTTTGGCGGGAGATCTTACTTATTTTTTCTGACCTCACCTATATGGTATTGACATCAGTTCCATGATACTACTTGTGCTTTTCAGGAAGAAACAGAAAAAGAGGGAAACAGAATTTCCTGCACTTGCAGAGCCTCGCAGTTTCCAGTGCTGTGTGTATTTGGTTGACTACTGATTTTTAGTACTGATGCTTCCAGAATGATGTGAACAACAACACTTTGAAAATATGAAACACGGGCTATGACAAACATTGAGAAAGCATAGAGAGGACACAAGTAGATTTTTAAAAACTATTTTAATACAAGATTAATAGCAATTTTCTATCCAAATCAGAAATGAGAAATCTTAACCCAAATAATAGTCATCTGACAGTCACATAAAATTTTAGGTTTGATTGGTGCACACATTTATCCTGCATATGTGTTCTGTATATGCACAGAGACCGCACTGTGGTGCCTTCATCAGGTGCTGCTCATGAAGTCCCTCTTTACAAGGCAATGCCAAAGACTCCAGTATCCACTCCACTCTCAGTGAAGTCCCAAGTGGTCCATGCTAAACTGAATCTGGGCTGTAGCAGATCATGACATAGCAAGTCTCCAGAATGCGTACAAATCAGTTATCTATTGGTGTAAGTTGGCCTAAAACTAAGCACTGACTGATATCTCTACCAAGGAGGAACAAATTGTGGATTTAGAAGATATGGGCTGCTTTCCTCTTCTGGTTGCAAGACTATATTGTTTTAAATTTAAATATGCTAATGATTGTAAATCAAATAAAATGAGTTTGAGTATCTGCAAGTGTTTGGAGAAGTCGAATCCTGCATTCGTTAACACTGGGAACCTAAAGTCACACTACCTGATAACTAGCCTTGCAGAGAGAGTCGAGAATAGAATTGCAAGCCAGAATTTTACCAAGTTTTATTCCTCCTTGAGGATTTAAGTTGGTGCTTAGTCCGTAGCCAAAATATGTATGTAATGTCAAGAAGAATCAAGGAAGGCTAATGTCTGCAGCAGGGAATGTGACCTAAATCTCGTGGCTCTGCATCCAATGATATTCTCAATGCGTTTGACTTAAAGAATGTTTCTTTTAAAATTGCTACTTCTCATCAATGAATAGTGTTTTTTTCAGTGTAGACAAAAGTAGTTTCTATCCCTTACAATTGAAGCAGGTGATTCAAGTCACCTTCCTCCCCGGGGCAAACCACGGTAAGGGAGTCGGACTTCCAGTGCTACAGTCTGTGAAGGCTGTAATCAAAGCGCCAACTTGGCCTTCATTGCAGTGAGAGGAGGCTGTCTCATGGCTGCCAATCCAGGACCATATATTCATAAATGCACAGTCCATTCTTCTCTGCTGAAGACATTAGCCTCCATTTAGCCTTTGTTGTAACATATACAAAGTAGAATAAACATCAATTACAGACGCGCATTTCTGTTAGAAAAATACATATTATAACTAAAGAACATGTAAATAGAGGCACTTCAATAAGCTAAGTGTTTTCAGTTATGAGCACCACCCACCAATTTCTAGTGTCCAAATTTTGGGGTCCCCATTCCTCTCTACTCATAACACAAGTCGTGATGCGAAGAACTTAGGGGACGTCATCACAGATGAGGACAGGCCACAAATGACAACGCAACATGAGCACATCCCCTACCCCAATGCTGAAATAAGAAGATTAATTGGGGAGGAGGACTCTGCAGTTCTGAAAAGGGGAAATTCAATGAAAGGGCTTAGGGAACAGAAAGAAACAAACCGAAACCAAACATCTTAACATGAAGTTAGTCTAAAAACGGTATGGCGGAGACGACTACGACCAGGAAGCGGAAGCGAGTAATATTTTGACCATGTCCGTGCAAGGTGACTAATGGTATGACTTCCTTGGATGATCCTCATTTCAACTCTCTGCCTGGCCCATATGCATCTCTATATCTTGTCAATGAAAATACCCTTGAGAATACAGGTGTTGAAACAAAGGAAGCAGGCATTTCTATATTATCTGTTTGATTAGTGTGCACAGAACATGGGTTCACATTCATCCACGTAATGTGTTGTCATATGCATGCAAAGAAACCATTCTTTTGGGGGGGGGCAAAAACACAGTAAAAATAAGAAACTTGATTTGTGTTATACAAGATACTGCAGAAATATTATTTTTTTTAAAAAAAAGGAAATTGGAGCTTAAAGCCATGACGCAAATTATTACTCAAATATCTTAGAGAATCAAAGTTGGTTTAATTTGTATTGTACCGTAATTGTTGGAGAAAAAGAAAAACAATACCGATTTCTGAACATGCCATGAGCCGAGTAACATAAATGACTGGTCCTTCATGGAGATATGGTCTGTGTAACTAGTGATTAGAATCTGAAGGGGGCAGTGAGGTGGACGATTTTCCAAAAGGATGCAATTCTGGATTTGATTAAGTGTTAACATCACACAAATTTAAGTGAAAGATGCTACAAAGTCTCTCAGAATCCTACACTTGATATTTTGTTAGGCAGAAAGTAGCAACAGATGCTTGTAAATAAGTTTTCTTTTTCAAAAGTGCTCAAATATACTTAAAACTAGTGCATGTGTTCTACTTAGACATGATGACTAAATCGATAACTAATTTTAATTTTGATGAGAATAGAGACAGAACCATTTATGGTGTCAATACTGTCAATGAATCAGTTACAATGTGGTTGGCATGCTGTGGTGTCTTGAAATATTTCTTCTCCCTTTCCCAGATGCATCATAAAAACCAAAATCCAAAACAAAAAATAATAAAAAAATCCACATGGTTAGCCAACTGTCTTCATACAACCCCAGTTTGATTTGCCTTGCTTCTCTCTGCCAGGGGAAGCATTGGGCCTGGCTTTGTGGGGAGGACAGGATGTAGCAGTAAATTGGCCTCTTGAGTTTAGGTCATCTACTATAGTACCCAGCAGGAGTCCTAGGCCACAGATGTTGTACATAAGAACAATGGGTTTTCACGGATAACATTCTTTACGCAATCCACAGTCCATTGCCAGTAACGCCTTGCACACCAGGGCTCGTCCCATGAGCTCAGAACAGTTCAGAGCACTGGGGACAATGCAAACTTGTACGGAAAGGGTGTGCTCTGGCAAGCTTGCAATAGATGGACAGTTAGATACATACAAAGTTCTCTTTCTTGATTCTTGGTGCTCACAGATCATTGAGGAACCCCTTCTCTGAGCCCCACAAAACAAGAAGAGCTGGTTGACAGAACAGGTTTGTTACAAAGGAGTGTCAACCCTGAGCTTGGAATTAAGAAGTTAAAATCTGTGATTTATATATATTTATAGATATAAAAATAGATGATCATACTAAGACTAAAAAAGTGAAAGAAATCTCCATGTCAATACTATATATATAGTGTTTTTCTCTCTTTTTTTTGTTTTGAGTTTTTCTTGTTGTTGTTGTTGTTGTGAGTTATTTTGTAAGAGAATTGCCCTTGTGATGCTGAAACCAATTGACACAATCAAAGAGTCTATAACAAAAACTCATGTGTGGAGCTAATTGCCATGTCAGTAAGAGAACTCTTATTTGGAGGAAAGTCAGGAGCAGAGGGGGTTGAGATATCTAATTCACGCCAGACTGGTAGAGAAAGTAGAGACTGTACCAATGAAGATGATTTTTAGTCAAGTCAAGACCTAGGATGAAGGAGACTTGACCAGGGGCATCCATAAAGGACTAAAGACAACTGATGCCAATTGGATACAATAGGAGACTGAGGAGATGCTGCCATCAGAGAATGTGTCATCAAGGGTAAGAGAGGCGTCGAGTTGCAATAACATTACCACTCATATAAAGGCAGAATCCTAAGTTTACTATGAGTACTTCCAAATCAGTTTGGGTAGACTGCAAGACAATACCTCCAAGACAACATCATCGCATTTCTACTACATTAAATAATGCTACGCTTTCCCCTCATAAGCATTTTGTAAACTTGGCTTGTCACAGAAAAGCTCGCCCCAGGAGCTGGCTGTCATCGCCAAACCTGGTAAAGTGAGAGTTCCTTTATTTTCTCTCCTTTATTTGCTTCCTTGTTGAAAAGTAGTTGTCTTGGGGTTTGGCCTGATTTGAAAAGAAAAATTATTTTTCTTCCTATCTTTTATTTTAAGTGGGGTGTTAGAGGAAAAAAAAACCCTCACAACATGAAATTCCTTTAATTTTGCAGCATAAAAGCAAATGACGGTAAGAAAAAATCTCTTGGTACGAAAGGTTTGAGTAAGAATTCTCTCTGGAATAAACAAGGTCCCCACGGATAGCAGAAGGTAAGGAGGCAGATCCTTGGGCACCCGGTACTCTTTGGGAAAACAAAAAGGGAGGCAGGTTGCAAGACTGCTCTCTCGTCATAGAAAACGGTGAGTTTTTGTGGTATGGTCCATTGTCCAAGAGTGTAGGAAAAGGAAGGAAGTTGGCCACCGAAGAGCTAAAACGCAGTTTCACTTGACCAAAGCCCATGATTATCTGTGGAGTCTCTGTAGGGCCAGGGCCATGCAGACCAGAGACCAGGAGAGCAGGGAGTAGCTGCCCTGCGCGCCCGAAGACTCCTCTTCTCTCCGGTCCGGGTCCACTGCAGGGGCCTCGGTGGTGACAAACTCGAACTCTGTGGGACACACGTCGTCCATGCACCCGCTGCCACTGCCTGAGCCGCTGGATTCGTCACCTGGTGGGGGCAGATTGACAAGGAACGTTAGAGCGAGCGCTTAGCTTGGAATAGAGACAAACCACAGTTCGCGGCAAAGCATGGGAGGGAGAAGCACTCCATCAAAGGCTTGCTCGTCTGCCTGAAGGTTTGTTCTTCATGGGCAGGTTAATGATGGGCCAGAAACAGGGCTGAAACACTATATTCACTGTTCTCTGATACTCCATACTTCAGTGCTGCTGCTCTAAGCAGGAATCATGTTTTTTTTTAAAGATAATTTTTGTTTTTTCTTTGTTTTTGGAGCCCAAGCTGACTGTAAACCCATGCTTCTCTTTCTGTCTCTTCCTCCAGAGTGCTGGGATCAAAGGTGTGTGTTACCTTAACCTTCTCAAAAAGACTTTAAAAAGGCCATTTAAGGTAAAACAGAAAATAAAAGCAAGCAGTGTAGGCAGGAGACTTCAGAATCAGCAGCCAAGAGCAGGAGAAGGTAGACATCGTTACTGTGCTGGCTTCTGCCTCTAACTCCCATGTTTGTCCTAACAGCCAAGACCGATCCCTTTCACCAAGTCTCTCTCGGCCACAAGTGGGTGAGCTATAGTCTGTTGCTTACTTCCCTGTGTGTCCCCAAATGCAAGACATGTCCTACATCCTTTAATGTTCGGAGTAGTCAAACGGGGCTCCTATCATGTGACTGAGGCTTTGATTGCGACACAGGTACAGCTGCTGACCCCCAGTGGCTTTACAGCTGCTCTCAAATTCCCAAGGCACAGCAGAATAGCTGTCACCGAGACTGGATGGCTCCGAAGCCTAACGTATTTATTATCTGTTTGTTTTTTTTTTAATATAACAAGTTTGCCAGTCCCTGACTGATTCAATACCTACACCTTTTTGCAGTCTGAGGTTGGCATATCTTCTCCTTCCGCCCACCATGCCTCTGGGTTTGCTTAATTACCATGTTTCGCGGCTTGGTTCCCTCATTTTTGATGCCCCAGTCAACCAACTATGGAGCAAAAAGAATTCCAGAAAGTTCCAAGAGGCAATGTGAACTTGCCAAATACCAAGTTAAACCCACGTGAATAGTTACGATGTCTAAACTGACCCTGCTAAAGCTTCCTGCTATGTCCTGGCTCCCAGTCCCTCTCTAGAACTATGTGCCACGTCGCCCGACAATGACTATTTCTACGTCAAACGTGTTTGCAATTTTCTTCCTCCTATTCCCTGAAAAATACCACATACCAGTTGTTTACGTAAGACACTGTGTTTGGTGTTATCAGGAATCCACAGATCATTATTTTAAGCAGATCAGAGAATGTTTATAGACCATATGGAAATGCCAAGCCATTTTATGTGAAGGGTTCTGAGCACCTCTGGCTTTGGGTGTCTGCAGATGGTCCCACCATGGCAGCTACCGCTGCACCTGTTGCCTCCAAGTGGCTCCTGATACCGGGCTTCTACTAGTTACTGGCTTGTTTGCTTGTTCGCTCCTGGAATATTCTACTGGAATATAAACTTTATGAGGATAGAGGATTTGAGAGAGCATTCATTTCCAGGTGGTTGTGATCTCTGATGTGCAGCAGATGTCCAATAAATCCTTGCTGAATAAGTAATGCGCCTTGAACAATTAATTCAACTTCTCTCAGTTTCTATATCTAAGTACAAGCAATTGGTAACTAGCTGTGTGTGTATATAGACAATTTGGCAAAATGTAGGGGCAAACCCATGGCTGCCAATGATGCCGGATGGAAAGGATTTGTTTCCTTCAGGAAACGTAGCCTAACACTTAAGCTGCCATTAGTAACTTAGATGGACAAGAGTGGTCAGCTTCAACAAACATCTTTTTCCTCCTCCTGCAAAAATGAAATAAATGATGTCTATTTCAAAGAACTGTTATGGGGACTAAACGAGGAGACGGTTTCTGGAAAGATCCAGGAGGTTTGCCATTGCATTCATTTGCTCAGTGAGTTTAGCTAGCATTCCTAAACTCCTGTCCTGCTGTTGGGTGCCACCTCTCCTGAGACAGGCAGGTGTGCCATTTTGGATTCGGATGCTACTTGCCAAGTCAGTGTAGGGACTCTTCTGTTGTTCCCCTGAGCGAAGAAGGGACATTCAGCACTGCCCCCTCACTAAATGGGACATCTAAATACATTGAATACATTATATTTGTTTCTTATCACTTCTTTGCCTTATTGCTATTGGCCTTTACAAGCAGAAAAAATGCCTATTAATTAAATTCAGAGATATTAGAATTGCAGAGGTAATTCTGTGGTATCATGAACACTGGTATTATGAGCAAGAAGTAATACAACCTTCACAAGACATTATTAAAGTGACTTGGAATATTAAAATTGTGGGAAGCAAATAACAACAAGAGGTTCTTGCTATGAAAGACAACGGCCCAGTCTTTTTGAAAGGGGATCACAGATGTTATGGGGGTAGAATGGACGGCCGAAAAAAATGGCTATGAGCAATGAGGACTATGATGGCTGTGAGCATGACAATGGTTCACAGACTAGGCATCGTCCTAAAACAGCTAGATTCAGTGCTTGAGTTAGAGCCGAGGGATTATCTTCATCGTCCTTCATTTTTGTTTTCTTTTGAGAAGAGCTTGAGAAAAATCACTGCCTCCTTAACATTCCTTGAGTTTTACAGAATGTCATCTCCACAGACCACAGAAGAAAAATTTCAACAAGCCCAACACTGGATAATTGTTACATAGCTTTGTTGCTCATATAAATACTTGCTCTCCAGGTAAAACAGTGCCATTATTCCACGGAGAAGACAGGATGGGAAACACGAGGCTAAGTGACGAGGAAGCAATGAACACAGAAAGCTGGTGTAGCATTCTCTTCCGAAGAGGAAGAGAGGCCTAGCCAAAGCAAGGAGAGATAATGGCATGATTCTGAGAAATTTGATAGCAATGAAGTTCATCGTGGTAGTAATTGCCCTGTGCAGAGAAAATAAATTCTTGAGTTCTTAAAAATGGAAGAAAGCGCTGCAAATGTTCTGCAGGGAACAGCTCGGCAGGATGGTGACGAGCTGAGATGACTTAATGACTTCCGTCTGTAACTTGTGCCTTTCTAACTCATTAAGCAAATACACACGCGTCTTCAGCTCCAGCAAGCAACCTAAGGACTGTTGGCAGCTTTACAACCCGTGCTCAAGAGTGTTTCCCCCCTGTGCATTCTCTTAGGTTACACACTTAAGAGAAAACCAACATACCTTAGAAGAAATCCCACAAAGCCTTTGACTCCGCAGCCATGCATCTCGAAGCCACTTAGACAAAACCCAAATATACTTAGCTTCACTTCGGCGTTCACTTATGAGAGCCCATGAAATCACTTCAAATGCTTTTATGATCCCCACTGAAACAGTCATGCTTCGGCAGTTTACTATTTCTCTAATATTTGCGACATAAATGTTTACGGTTTGTGTCTGTGTACAACTGAGTAGGGAGGGAAATAACTCATTGAACCTGCTTCCAGCCTCAAGACCTTGTCTTAGCCCTTTAATAAGTCATCCCCGTGGAGCCTCCAAAGGACCCTAGCTGGAACCTTTTGAAATTATTTGTTCCTCACAGTTTTAGCATGCCATTGTAATGGAGGAATGTGAGTCTCAAGAGGTATAGATCCTCCTCTAAGTACAGTGAAGGCATATCCCATTTTAAAATGTTGCAGTTCTAAACAAATTGAAAACATGCAACTCACATAGCATCTGAGCCTAACCCAGCACCCATAGAATGTCAACGTTTACCCCTGTGCTCTTGGGACTCACTGGGGTCTGTGGGCTTGAGTCTTCTGTCCAGAGGGAAGATCATATCACATAATGATGACTGGAGAAAAGATCCAAATTCAAACTTTGAAGGGCGGCTTCTAGTGCGTGTGTGTGACCCCTGAGCCACCATAAATTCAAGGAATGTTTGTGTTGTTTGTGAGAGACAAGATGGGGATTCGAGCCCAGCTTGCCAGGAAGTGTGTAGAAGATTCTTTATGAGGTGATAGGGAAGGTTATCAGGAGTTTAGAGTGGATGTAACCTCTGCTATGGAAAAGGTAAGGTAAAAACAGCCACATCATGATAAACGGGTCAACTTGGAGATTAAGTTATGCTTTTGCTTGTATATGTCTAAGTATCTCACCTGAAGCTGGTATGATAGCTCAGTGGTATAATACTTGTGTGAGCGTAAGAATTTGTGTTCGGTCTCCAGCTCTTACAAAAACAGCCCAGTGATGGGGACCTGAAATTCCATCACTGCACAGGCAGAGACAGGAGGATCCCTGGGGCTCACAGGCAGCCAGCCTAGCTAAATTGAGGAGCTCCAGGTCTCAGTAAAAAATTAACCTGTCTCTAAAGATAAGGTTGATAACACCTGACAGGGGATGACATTCAAGGCTGACCTTTGCTCCCCGAATGAACCCAAACAGGTATGAACACACACACACACACACACACACACACACACACACACACACACACACACACAGCCATTCATTAAGTGGAATTAGTGGAATTATGGCTTTAGTCAGCATGAACCTTTTGTGGCTCAGGCTAGGAAGGCTTCGTGGCTAAGAGCAAGAGAGATGTAATTGAAGATGCCCATTGAGAGAGTGCAGTCTCACACACGGTTTTCCCACTGTGGGGCTCCCTGGTCTCTGGGCGGTTTCCTTACTTGTGTCTTGGAAGTTGACATCGTTGCCATTGTAGGCATTCTTCAGTTTGTTGGTCATCACCCGGAGGGCCATGATCTGCTGTCTGATGAACGTGTCGGGCCGGGTGATGTCCACCTCTACCTCAGGATTGTTGATCTGGTTGGTCAGCCCATCGTTCATGATCTCCGGCAAATATCTGCAAGGTAGAGGGAGTCGTGGGTCAGGTGACACTGCAGTGACCTCACAAACAATCGCTGCCCTGCCGGTTCAGCCAGGAATCATCCCCTGGTGAAGACTGCAGGGGACACCTGGGAAAATGAGCAGAACGGTAGGAATATGGCCTGAGACAGTACTGTTGGGGTAGAAGGGTTTCTTGTTTAAGCGCAGAGAGTTCTCATGTGGGTTCATCTATAAAAATGCGCTAAATTGGGCACTAGGGTAAAAAATTGATTCAAATTAACGACCCTTTTTCCTCCTCCTTCCAAAGAGTTTTGAAGCCAACCCCCTGATAGCTTCCTTGGTTTTGACCTTTTTTTGGTACTAAAAACTGGGTTAGGAATGGCATATGAACAGGTGATGTACTTAGTGAGGACACTCTTTTCTCCATGGAGGAAGATTTTAGTATAAAGTTTCTTCTGGATGTTAAAAAAAAGTCTCCTGGATGCTTTAGGAGGAGCCAGTGATGGCTTATGACTATGAGATGTCTAGTAGGGTTTTCATTTTCTATTTTGGCGGTGCTGGGAATTGAGTCAAGGTTGTGTACACACTAGGCAAGTGCTATAACAATGAGCTATGCCCCTATTATAGACTTTTAATTTTGTAATATCAGCTTGGGTCTAATATGATAGGTGTGTCAACATTCACTAAAAGAGGCTAACATCTAATACGACTTTATGCTTCTGGCTTAACATTTATTTGTGTATCAAGACTGTCAGTCTTTCAGGACGCTGCCTAATGTCGTCCAGGCACTTTTAAACAAAGGGGATAAAGGCCCATGAGCATCTTTAGAGACCCTGTGACTCCTCATGCTCATGACCTATGGACCATGAAGTCCTCCCACTCTTAATGCCAGAGAACCTCTCACAAGCTCCTTTCTTCCCTTCCTGCATTTCCCTATGGAGAACAGATGGTGACATTGGCTCGAACAATCTTCTTTGGCCATGCCTCTGTTCTTAAGGCTTCCTAGAGAACAGATTAATCTTCCTAAATCTTCACTCTCCCCTGTCTCTCCTCTGTGTAAACACTTTAGAGGACACTCCCAAATGTCAAGAACTATGATGCAAAATTCCAGCCCACCAGCCCATTCATTACCAGAGAGGTGTGTCCTTTTCCCATTGTATGAGACAGAAAGCCAAGGCCAAGTGATGACAAGCAGATGTAAATTCTAGTAGATGGCAAAATCGAGTTCTGTGAGATATCCATGCAAATTAATTGGACCCAGGAAGGGGGGTTACTCATTTATAGTCAGGTGTCACACACACACACAGATAACAACTCGGATCTAAAGCGTGTGTATGTGATTGTGTGAATGTGTGTGTGTGTGAATGTGTGGAATGTGAGTATGCTGTGTGTGTGTGGTGTGCATGAATATGTGATATGTGTATGTGATTGTGTGCCTATGAATGTGACAGTGTGTGTGATGTGTGAGCGTACTGTGTGTGTGTGAATGTGTGTGGTGTTGTGTGTGAGTGTGTGTGTATGTGAATGTGTGGTGTGTGTATGTGTGTGTGTGTGGTGTGTGTATATGTTTGTGTGAGTATGTCTGTGGTATGTGTGTGTGGTGTGCGTGTGTGTGGTGTGTGTATGAGATTGTGTGTGTGAATGTGAGTGTGTGATGTATGTGGTATGTGAGTGTGCTATGTGTATGTGTGTGTGAATGTGTGTGTGTCTGTGAATGCGTGTGGTGTGTATGTGTGTATGTGTGTGTGTAGTCTTGGGGACTGGTCTGATTTACAGAGCACCTGAGCGCTGTCTACCGCAGACCTGATTGCTAACTTGCTGGTAGCAAGAAATCCCGTACCATTGTCAAGGAAATGTGTGTTGCCTGTGTTGTGAGAGCAGAGGAAAAGCAGAGTACCTTTCTACCCAGCACAGTGCTCTGCAGGGTTTTGTTTCTGTGTTTATTTTTGTTACTGCTTTTTTTTTGGTTTATACTTATTTAAATCTGAAATATGGTTAAATGGGACCATCATTTTCTCCTAAAACAGTTCTGGCTACCAGGAACCTACCCACCGTTCTATGGGGCTGCTCGGTTTGACCGGGCATTCTGGGTACAGACCTATAAAGCTGCCATCTATACCTGAGTCCTGGTAAGAGACAGATGGCACCACAGAGGCACGATGAGGAGAATTCAGCGGAAACACTATTTACAAAGGTGTCTATGTGATTTAAGGACCATACAAGGTGGCAACATCAGGAGGAGCCCCTAGAGACAACGGAGAGATACGTTGCCAGAGTGCACCAGAGACGAATTCGTAACCAGGCGCCCAAGTACACTGTGCCTAAGCGAGTCCTGACAGGACCCCTCTGGTCCCTACTGGTTCAGGTGGTCTGGCTTGTGGAGGTGGCCTCCCAAGGGTGCAGGAGGGACAGAGCAGCCCTTAGGAGAGGGCAGAGGCTTTTTTGTTTTTGTAGTATGTTTAGACAGGGTCCTGCTGCATAGCTCAGGCTGATCTTGAACTTGAGATTGTCTTGCCTCCGCCTCCTGATTGCTGAGATTAAACCGGGTACCTGTGAACACACCCAAACGGGCGTGGTCAGCGCTATGGTTACGCAGACCTCTCCCTGCATCCGTGAGCTGAGTGTGCAGTTACCAGCTCAGCTGTGGTTTATCACCGCTCGGACTGGAGGCCCTGTCCGAGCCTCCAGAGTAGTCCTGTGTCTCCTCCGTTGCTGCCCTTGCTGCTGTTGACGGAAGCTGAGTAAACTCCCCTCTGTTTCTTCATCTCCACGCAGGTATCTGCGTACCTCCCTTGTGCTTGGAAGTCTTTCCCTTTCTGAAAACTACTGTCCAAATGCCAGAAACCAGAGACAGAAGCCTGCTCAGGGAGGGTCACCCAGGAAAAGTGGGACCCAGGTTGATATTCAGGAACTAAGTGCTATGCTGGCGTATCTGTGTAGGAACTGGATCAATCTATTTGTTTAAACTACAGGTCTCCAGAGTAACCTGTACATTTTCACTCATATTCTGAACAAAACCGACTGTTTTTTTTCCCCCCGAGACAGGATTTCTCTGTACTGTTTTGGAGGCTGTCCTGGAACTCACACTGTAGACCAGGCTGGCCTCGAACTCACAGAGATCTGCCTGCCTCTGCCTCCCGAGTGCTGGGATTAAAGGTATGCACCACCAACACCCGGCCAAAAACGACTTTTAAACAAAATAAAAGCAAATTCTTTTCCAGGAAGCTTTATGTTATCTCTGACCTAAAAGTGATTCTGAGAGGAAAAACATTAAACCCAGGTATCCGTATCTTTTCATATATTTTGCAGTAAATCAAAATCTCCCGCCAGCCTTTGCAATATATTTGGAGTGTATGAAAATTCTTACTGGCCTCTGAGATCGCCCTCCCAGTGTAACTTCTAACACATGGCGTCGAATTGGCTGCTACTGGCAGGGTACCATGACTGCCAGACTCCCGGGGTTCCTTAATGATCACAGTCCACTGGAATAGGCGGCAAGCGGAGGCCATCAGCTGCTGACACAGCTTGAAGGCTGCAAGGTGATGGCCGGGTCTCTCTCTGCTCTGCATCCTGGCCATTAATCCCGCAGCTGTGCCCAGGCTGAGCCAGAGGGGGCTCCGTCTCTCTTGCACGCCGTGCGCACTGCTCAGCTAGCCAAGTCTCATTTGTCAGCAGCTCGCTACAATATCTTAGGTGGGAATGCTGCCCCCGGGAGTCTGAACGTCCAGCAACAATAAGGGACTGCCAGGCGAAGCCAGCCTCTCATGGTGCCTGGTGATGCTTGACCGTTTACAATCAAAACAATGGAGCAGCGCGCCCCTGCCCTCCAGAGCGCTTTCTCTTGGTGTTCTCCAAGGCTGACTTCAGAAATTTAAACATAAACTAGATGAAAAATAAAACAGCTGTTTTTTTTTTCCTTTGCCACAGTAGTCACAAATACCGATACAGTATCTTTGAAGATCACCGCGTAGTTGGAAGAGGATGCGAAGGTCTGTAGGGAGAGATTTTATGTACCTGTAGCGCTGACCACGCCCACTTGGGCGTGGTCACAGGTGTGTAGAACCGATGGGGGTTAAAAGAGCCGGAGGAAGGAGACGCTCTCTTTGGGTTCTGGTTGCGTCCCAGAGAGCAGCGTGCTGACCTTTGGTTCTCTGTTTTCTTGGCTTCTCACGTGAAGCGATTTCTCCCTCAATAAAATATCATAGGACATCCCTATTCTGCGTAGCTTAATATTTCCACTTTACCGGTCCATTTGGGAACCAGGGTCTCAGGAATCTATAAGTTCATTTCCTTCCATGCTTGGTTCACTTACAGAAATCACAGACCCTGTAAGAGCAGACCAATCACTGAACCCATGGGGCCCTTCCTCTGCTAAGCTTTAGCGGAGTCATTTGAGTGACAGCAACTCCTATTTTTGGGGAACACAGAGCAAGAGTGTGGGCACTGGCAGCCCAGGTTGCAAGGCTGGATGCACATGCACTGGGAACAGGGAGAACTTAGACTTGAGGACAAATTGGACTGCCGAATAGGGGTGTTGTCCTTGCCAGTAACTCATGCTGTGGTGCGGCAAGTGGGCGGTACCCAAGGACAGCCAACTGTAGCCTCATCTTGTTTGGCTGCTCCCGTTTGCAAGAGCATGACAAGGAGCTGCATCGCTGACAGTGCTTTTTTTTTTTTCATATCTGACTTCACGCTGTTAATGTAGGGCTTCTTGATTACAACCAAGCATAGCTGATGGGGGGGAAGGGGGAGAGCCCCGTGAGAAGCTTAGAAGGCATTGAAGGGGCGGCACATTCTACTTTGTGGGTGGGTGGGTGGGGGCTGCACACTCTGTGCCAGGAAGCTCATTGACACAGCTGAGAGCTCCTGTAGTGTCTCAGCGGCTAACCACCGCACCTCCCATCCACTCCTCATAGCTGAGTTGGGGTTTTCAGAAAGACCGGGCTGCCGTGTAAATGTGTTTACCGGGAGGAGCCGCGTGTCAGCCTATCAGCGTGCGATACTGCTTGCCAGCAC